ACAACAACCACATCTTGCAAGAGGAGGGACAGGCTACTTGAAAACAATCATCAAAATACTTTGCGATGTATTGAAACTAGTGACACATCCACAGGAAGATGCTTGAATCAAGAAACATCCTTACTAGACCTAGGGATACTAGCAGATGGGGATCACATCATACTACTTTGATTCAGTGGCGGAGCCAGAAATTTTATAGAGCCTTGGCGAGACATAACGCCATGCTATTAGTAAGGACACTCCCAACCTAAAAACTATATGGTTTATATGTTCATTAATTAGGATGTCAACTAAGTAAAAAAAATGGTGTGGCACTGTAATTAAAAAGAGAGAATATAATGGTTTTCTTAACAAGAAATCATTATCTGTGGTTTCTAGCATTGTTAGTGCTCTAACAAAGCTACGCAAAATAGAACACATAATTATGTAATAAAGTTAGACAACCAAAATAGTTTTAAATTTTAAACTAAAATAATCACTATATGTTCTGGCGGTGCCTGCTCCCTACTACTACCTCCGTTTTCGTTTACTTGTCACCGAATTTGTACTGTAGCAATTTTGACCATACGTTTTTTCCTGCAAAAATTTTTTAGATACATCAAGTTTTCACATATATGATTCTTTATTGAACATACTTCATTAGTGTTATATACATTGAAGTATCTAAGATTTTTTTAGAAGAAAAAACAGATGGTCAAATTTGCTACAGTAAAAAAGTTGCTGACAACTAAACACAAACGGAGGGAAGTACCTCATCTCTGCACGTAGCTTTTTTTAGAAGGGTTTGTACGTAGCTATGAGCCTATGACTAAGTCTTTTTGTCTATTTGGGGCTTTTTTAGATTAATGTGTCAGCTTTTTTTGAGCAATGATTAATGTGTCAGCTGCAGCCAGAGGATATGATCGAGCCTGGGCACCGGCCCAGGGTGCCCGGGCCATGGCTCTGCCCCTGCTTTGATTCGTTTGTCTCAAATGCGGGACTCCGTGATAGAGGTGCATCGTATAGTTTATGAAGATGCTAGAGTACCAATCAAGCAACTGGTTTAATAGAAAAAATGGAGTGATTTCAGTTTGTTTTTATCCTCATGGTTATGTTAAAATTACTTGGCATCCCAAATGAGCTCTCACATGCAAACAAGCAAAAATCGCTCTAGGTATGCTTTCATAGTAACGTACAATAAAAGCCTATCTACATAGTCATGTAAAGATGCCTTTTGACATTATTTTGTTAATGTCTCAACATAACACGATATTAGACATGTTTTAGTGTTAAAAGACATGCTCGCAAAAAAATAGTGTTAAAAGACATCTAAAGACACTTTTTATGATGATATTGTAAGTGTCTTAAAGAGATACGATGCTATGCTAGACACTCTTTTAATATGGCTTCGAGACATGTTACAAAGCGTATTAGAGAACGCTCCATGGCTAATAAAGGTGTTTTTTTGATACAATACAAAAGTCATCTCAAAATAACATAAAGTTAGACACGCTTTAAACCGTCAATATAATTTAGTTACTAGCTCCCATATGTTTGGTTTTTAATTACTGCACCATTATGGATAGGACTCTAGTACTATACCTTTCAATCTCACTTTTTTTTGGCAAATGCAGCTTATTCATGGTGTGAAGTCTAGGTTGAACACCATGAGAGAAAGTGGCTGGGAGGACTTATTCGAAGAGGCAAGACAATTTTGTGTAGCAAAGAGTATTCCTATTCCAAACATGTTTCAATGTGTTACCGGTGAGGGGTCGTTCAAGGCGTGATGGATTTACTATTACTAATCTTCATCATTATCATGTTGGGATTTTCTATGTCGCTGTCGACAAGATATGTGCTGAGATGAATCATCGGTTTAGTGAAGTGACTACTCCTTTTGGGGGAAGGTTAATGTAAAAAGGTCCAATCCTCCAGGGCAAAGGTATCTTTTGTTTCCTTTAGAACAATCCTAATCGCAAATCCAAACCAAAGAAGATGATATTTATTTGAGAAAGCGGAGTTATTATTGTGTTTCTCTTGTCTTGATCCAAATAACTCTTTGCCCATGTTTGATGTCAACAAGCTTGCTCGACTTGCTGAAATATATGATGGGAATTTCTCTAATAATACGTGCAATAATAAGGGGACAACTTGAGACTTATATTCTTCATGTGAGGAGGCATCCTGCCTTTGCTACTTGTACAGATATTGAAATCCTAGCCACAAATTTAAAGATGATTACAACAGAAAAGCATCTGGTTTTTTCATTGGTCTACAAACTGATTGAATTGGCAGTGTCGGTGTCAACCACGTTTGTTGAAAGATTATTCTCAGCAACAAAAATTATCAAGTCCAAATTGCACAATAAGATTGCCGACGATTAATTGGTTAAACAACTTGATAGTGTGCTATGTTAAGCAAGAATTATTCAGATCACTTGATGAATCTACTATTCTTCGACAGTTTCAAAACTTGAAGAGTCGAAAGATGCAACTTCCATGTAGTCGTATGCTTCATAGCTAGAAACTAACATGTATTTTCCTGTTAAGTTTGACTTAATTGATCCATATGTGATCTTGTGAACATGTGCTACGATATGATTCTAGTTAAAACTAATGTGGCAGCCTTATTTTGCTTATACTATAATCCATGTTTCTGAGCGCTTGTTATTTATGTTCTTCGCGCCGGGCTCATCAAATTCTCTGGGTCTATCACTGCTTATCCGTGATGTGACACAGTAGAACCATCCAACTATGGTTCTGTGAAACTGATTTTTCTTTACTATTTATATATGTCAAGAAGATAATAAATCGTTCTTGAAACAGAAAACAGTACTGTTTTTAATCCTTTAACAGAACTTAACAACATATTGAAACAATATATATTAAGTTTACAATCCACTAGATTGACGAACAATGAAAATATTGCTAAAAAAATTCATGGCACATCACCAAGAACAAACCGGAACCTTGATCAAGCCAGCTATCAGGCAACAAGGTTTCTAAGTAACATGAGACGATAGATCAGGCTTGACAAATGGACCCTTAAATTCCATTGGTTCTGAATATTTGGGTAGTATATTCTTCCTCAGCTGAAGTTTTCTCTTCCTCACAAGGGAACCCTGCAATTGCAAAAATATGGAAAGGGGCAATAAGTTTTGAGTGGTATGCACCAAACTGATATATGAAAAACAAATAAAGGAAAAACACATATACAGGAACATAGAAGAATTTTACTTGACGAAAAAATTTCATAACTGATTATTCCAAACAAGGGCCGATGCTAAACTGACAATGGAACATAAGAGTTGTGCCACTAGTTAGGTACTCTCTCCATTCCAAATTATAATACATTTTGGCTTTTCTGGATACGTAATTTTTGCTATGTGCTTAGATACTATGTCTAAATGCATAGTAAAAACAATACATCTGAAAAAACCAAAACGTCTTATAATTTGAAATGGAGGGAGTAGTACCTATATTGCAATAATATATGTGGTGGTTTGGTACATCAACAGTCTTTGACATGAATCAAATAGATTAAAACTATTTTTTTTTACATATGATGTTATTATTTAAATACTTTATATATAGTCATTGAAGTGAAGAAGTTTGCATTCAAAAAACACTCAAGAAGTTTGACAAAAGGGCAAAGAGGCACTGCTCCCACATCGTCCTGTGTGTTTAAAATGTATGCAAGGTGACTATGCAGGGCCAGTCTCAAGCCAAGCCACCGCTCCGCCCACCCCCCTAGTTGTTGCGTGAGTGGACATAGACACAAGGAAGGTGGTGGTGGGGCATCCTCGTTAGGGTGGCATATGCTCTCACTGGCACTAGCGAGAAGGGCGTGGCGTAGCCAGCATGGCTCAAAGCCGGTGCCACCATTGTTGGCTTTTGCATAAGTTGACAGTGCCGATATATTTGAATGCTTCATTTCTCAATGAGCCATTACTGTGCCCCTTCCCCCCACATCAAGGTGGTTTTGATTGAAAAACCTTGTGCTAGTTCTTCCAACGGGTTGACGGTGTCTAGGTATTGTATCCTCCTTATTAGAGGCTTCACTTTGGTGCCCCTCCCACTATGGCATCTGTTGAAGCAAGAAGCAAGATAGTAGCTCTTTGTTTACTAGCGCTGTAGAGGCTTGCTTTTGTTGTGTGGGTGGATTGTGTTGGTAGTGGTGGTATGGTTTTGACAGAACAAGTTATGAAGCGCCATGTATTTCAGAGCATGATGTGTTTAATAAGTTGGATTAAAAGGACTACTAGCAGACAAAATATCCAGCTACATCTCCTAGGATCAGACCACGACAAGTACAAAATTCTAGGAAATAATTTGGACACAGGAGCCACAAGGTGAAGTCACCATATATATTTTATAGATTTTTGGATACGGTAGAATTAATTGGTTATCTACATCCTCACAGAAAATGCCAACGGCAAAATCTTACAAGTGTTCTAGCAGAAATCAGAAACAAATTGAACAGCAGGACTTGTGGAAACAACCTAAGCTGGTGGTAATGAGTTCAGGTAACAAAGTGCTACATGTGGTTGCTACACATCAAGGGAAAGCAAAAATAAGAAAAATTAAATATGTATACCTCAGAAATGAATCTAACCAGAAAGGTAATTAAGTATACTGTATACAATTCAGAACCACTAAGAATTATTTCTTTCAAACATTTGTGTTTCTACAAGCAATCCAAAAATAACATATTTTGATCAAACCAACCAATAACTATAACATGTTTTTCCTAAACAAACTAACAACTGTAATATACAGCTTTAAGCATTACAGTGCTCCACATAACCATTTTTATTGTGTCTCCTACTTTCCAAGAAAAATTGCCGAATATCTGTTTATCTCTAATTGGATCAATAATGTTAATTGTTTTGTTCTTGATCATGTGGAACTTTCTTCATTCCTTTTGTTCATTTTTTGCCAAATATGGAAGAAAATTGCAGGGTGTGTCTATGTGTGTGTATATCAATTTTAACTTTTGCACCCACAGTAAGCAAGGAGTTTTCATTCACCTAAATTAAAGTACAGTAACAAAAGTTAGCTTATTATGATACAAACAAAAGGTGGAATGCCGAAATGTAGAATGCAAAAGAACAGGTCCCAGTGAGCTTACATATGTTAAGTGAATCTAGGAACCTCAAAACATTGTGAAATGTATTCTTGACGACATCACATTTCACTTCCACTATCCTTAGGTGTTCCGATATCATCATAGCTGGTCTCCGTACTGCATTGAGGCATCCTTTCATTTCTACTTTATATTTGGGTCCCTGCAGCAAGCATAAACAGTTCAACGAGATCAATTGATGAAATTTACAGTAATTTGCATTGCCACCATTTAGGAGGAAATAATATATTCTACCTTGCCCGAAAGAACGATAGTGAGCTTCTCTAGAACCAGTGAGTGTTCAAGAATGCGTGCTAATGGACGGCAATCAGGAGGCTCACACCAGTAATCATTGATCCACAGGGTCCTTAACTTGGAAAATGTAGGGCACCATCTCAAGTCTCTTCTGAAAACAGACTGAACCAATTGCAAAGAATTATAATTACTGTTAACAAACAGGATGTGTTTCTTATCATTTACAATAGCAAGCAGTTAACTAAGATATATAGTAACACATAAACATAAAATATACACAGTGGAACAGTGAACAATACAAACGAGTAGTGAATGAAAGACAAATTGAAGAAGTGTACCATTTCGTGGCCAGATATCAGGGTCAAATCTGTAGCTTCTGATAAGCCTCCGAGAAGTACACACTTTCCGGTAACTTCGCTGCTATTGTCATCATCAGAAAAGCCTTCTTCATCATGGTCGTCGTCATCATCTTCAGTAGAGGAATAGCCATAATCTACTTCAGCATGGTCAGATGCATAACTATCGGAATCTTCTTCATCACCGTCGTCAATGTCACTGTATGAATAGCTGTAAGCAGCTTGGTTAACATGACAGCAATCCATGCGGTCGCCCTCACAAATGCACTCGTCCAAACACCAGTCTAGTTTAACATACGCCACCGCCAAGTCCGGCATGCTCTCAAGCTGGGGAGTCCTGTCAGCAGAAGGGATGTCCAGCCACAGCCAGACCAGCCGTGGAACAAAAATCTCGAAGCGCCAGTTTGGGCAGGAGATGCAATCTTTGATGCTCAGCCGTCTCAGTGACGGTGACTCCATCTCCGACACCTCCGAGAGGTCGCATTTCTCGATCTTGAGGTCTTGCAGGGCAGGGCAGCTTGAGAAGTGGGCGAAGCTTGCACTGAACTCTATGCCGCAGAGATCTAGCCTCGTCAGGTACGGCGAGAACAGGGGCTCAGGTAGTGGAAACCATGGCATCTCGTCGGCCTCATTGTCAAAGATGTTGAGCGAGAGCCATTGGACTCTGCACTGTAAAACAAGGCCGATCCAACGATGGATGAAGGCCTCATCGTCGGCATCGAACATGTCAAACTTGATCTCGCACATGTCGAGGGGGGAGCGCGAGATCATGCTGAGGCGGGCTTGCAGCAGTCGGTCCATGAAACCACGAACTTGCCCCACATATGTCGGTGTCGTTGTTCCTGTGACGTGCAGGCGCCTTACGAGCTCCCAGACTTGGCGCCAGCTCTGGGGAAGCACACAGGTCCGCACGGCCTCTTGCGCTGGAAGGAAAGAGAGGATGTGCTGGAGGATCTCATCAGGGAGGGCGCTCAGGCGATCTGCACTGCCGGTGGCGAAGGTCGGAGGCATCACCATCCGACTATGGTCTGGAGCCATTTGCTGTGCTCTGCATAGGAAAGCAAGAATAGACAACAAGATTGATGGGAGTCAAAATTTCTGGTTCACAGTGTCATGCTAACGCACCCCCAGCACAACTCACTAAGATGAAAGTTTTTATAAAAAGTTTCCGACTATAGAAAGAGCTCCATATATACTTCGAAGTGACTAACAAAATTAATTTCACCTAAGTGTTTGTCTAAATGAATTGGGTCGAACATTAGAGATAATTTTACATGTATTTCTAAATATTGCTCAACAAAAAAATTATGAAAGAAACAAACTACTACCGCTGGCTCCCATGGACTGCAGCCTGAAATTCTAGTCGACTTCTGCCATACCCTCATTCATTCCCCAAACTTAGAGAAGGGAGGGAGGAGGAATCTCGGAGAGAGCAAGTGAGAGAGTGAGGAATGTAAAAGAGTATTTACCGTCTGCTCATTTTACATCGATGAAATTCAGTAGGGAGGCTGCGGTTTCTGGTAACACATTCGCTTCTACCGCAAATAGATCTATATGTTAGAGAGAGCGAGGAATCCCATAGAGAGCTTAAGAAAGGGGGTGTAGATAAAGATGGGAACCAAAACGAAAGTATGGCAATCCCTTACCACCCGCTAGCACTACCCGCAGTGAATTCAAGGAGCTCAAGGCCTCTGGTGACTTCCTTGCTTTGGCCGCCAATAGATCTATGCTACAAAGAAAGGAATCATGAAGAGAGATTGTTAGAGAGGGGCAAACAAAGGTTGGGATGAAAGAGAGGAGCGGCAAACATAGCCCTTACCGATGCTAGCACCACCCCAGTGAAGTCGGGAACGGAGGTCATGATCTATGGCGGCGGCTCTCTAGGTTTAGCTACTAGAGAAAGCGAGTGAGGTCGAGGAAATGAGAAAGGGAGAGAACCTCGATATTTTAAAAGGGGAAAGTTGATTGGACCATCACAGTGGACCCTACGTCAAGAAAAACCATGTGAGGGACCACTCTAGCACACAGTCTACGGTTCTAAATAATAGTAAAACAAAGCAACTTTTTATTTATGTTTTTTTCTGGAATTTTTTTTTGATGGACCCAATTGATAAAATGCTTATTGTGGGTTTGAGACTTTCTTTTTGTTCCAATTTATGAAACCATTTCTTGTATATAAACTATTTTTCCAGACAGGGCATGGGTGATACATTATCTTGATCAGACATTGACTTCAAACCCACATGTTTGAGCTCCAAATGTTTCTTTCAGGTGGTGGGATACTATGTCTTTATGAAAGGAATTGTTGGATCATAGGTCGGGTTTCACAATGACGCCTCCTTCTTCAAAAGTTTCTTAGCACCTTCTTCGTAACTATGTCATTTGAAGCATCTCTTCAATTGCATGAGTTTTCTTAGAAAAAGAGGATTTTTATTTCGGTCCCTTCATCAATGTTTTCCTAAACGTTAAACGGTAAATAGTCAGTCACCTATCATTTAGCTATTAATTATTCAGGTTAAACAGTCCAATTAAACAAGCTAAATGGAAACGGCGTACCACCGTACGTGTAGCATTTACACGGTGTTTAAACGGGCTAAACGGCTGTTTAGGAGAACAGTGCCCTTCATAAGTTATTGACTTAACCATTTCATATTATAGTTATAGCTAGCGTCTAACTGATTAAAACCCACTCTCAATGGGTACACAACAAAAAGTACTAGTTGAAGCAACAAATTAACCATTGAGTCTATCAAAACACAACCGTTTGTGCTTGGGGAAGATCTCTAATGTCGCAATCTACAACAAATGACTTGCCCACTGCAATCTCGGCTTGTGGTACTTCTTTTGAAGGATGGACCCAAAGTGAAACATGGTTGGGCAATGTGGACCGGCTCCAGGATGGGCGGTGGGTGGTATTTGTCGATCAGGAGGGCATTAAAAAATTGGCTATGCGAAGCATTGGTCTATTGAACATGTGCCAAAACAGAGTAAAACCAGAATCTATTTCACAACTTCAAACCTTTTTACACCTCGATTCTAGAAATGAAAATGGGACCCATATTTCCCGAAAGCATTGGTCTATTCGAGCCGCTTCGCCCAATCCTCCTCGTCCTCCTCACCAGAGCTATTCGTCGGCCATGGGTTCCTTCATGGTGCTGAGGTCCGTCATGGATCTGCACCAACTCGACGGCGAACCGGGGTCAACATGGGAAAGCATCTATAGCTCGAGCAAGGCGGCCTATGGATGCGGGAAGCACGGGTAGAAGACGATGGTAGAAGGCCTGAAGCTCTATGTGCGCCGTGTTGAGCAGCCGGATCTCAACACTTCCATCTCCATGACTCCATCCGCCTGAGCGACAAGGCGTTTCGAAGCATCGAAGCGGAGCTCTGCGTCCCCCAAGGCACGCTGGAGGCCGAGGGCAGCGTCAAGGTCGCGCACCAGGGGCTGCTCGTCCTCATCGTCAAATCCTCGTCTGGCAGCACAGCAGCCGCATCTACTACCTCGTCTACGACACCTGCCGAGCGACCTCGTCGCCTCCTACACGCGAACGCCCGCCCCCGGCCGCCTCCCCGTCCCCGGCTGGGGTGTCGAGATGGTCCTCGTGGTGTGTAGGTACTGGTCCCAACCCGTCGAGCAGGACTACCTCTGCCTGTGCACTCTGGCGACAAAGGAGAAGACCTTCCTGTCCCCCTCTCGATCGGCTGACGGGCAAGGTCTTCTGGGCCGACCTCTCGCTGGGCCTCGCATACTGCGAATCTGCGACTTGCGCACTGGGAACTCCGTCGAGGAGTTTATCGCCCTGCCCCGTGGGTACGAGATTCGCCCTGGGGAGGAGGATGAATTCACGGTGGTGCCGAAGATGCGTCGGACCATGGGCTGCACTGAAGGAGGCTCCATCAAGTTCGTCTGCATCGACCGCTCCAGGGGCCATCTTGGCAAAGCGATGGTGAAGATGTGGACTCTGGATCTGGCACGCAAGAAGTGGAAGGCCGAGCTGGGTGTGCTTTGGAATGAACTTTGGAACCAGCTAGGCCAACTTCATGGAGGCAGAGATGTGGGATGTGGAGCCCCTGTAAGTATCCCATGCAGATGCCGGATGGTACCGTCTGCGTCTTGCTGCACGGCCCAAGGAGGATGGGAGCTGATTACATCTGCAACTTTGACCTGGGGCTCCATAGTCCATACCCCCGTGTGGCATGGACGATTTCCTAACCACCTGTTGGCGGCCCAACTACCACAGCTACTTCGGATGAGGAGGCCCATGGACCTCGGGTCGGGTCACGTGTCCGTCGGCCCAATATTCGCTTGGCTGGCGATGAGTGGATGTGAGAGCGCACCTACGTGCACCTACGGGCAATTGCCGTGTAAGAGATATAAGAACCAGAGAGAGAGAGAGAGAGAGAGCGAGCGTGAGGGCATCATCATTCATGTAACAACTCTAAACTCTCAAGCACTCAATCTTTCCTCGCATATTCCCCCTAGCCCAATTTCTATGCTGTTCGTCTGATTCCCTGCCTCAATTTCTCCTATCCTTGCCCCTTGCTAACACCACCATGCCATGGGCCGTATTATCTTGCCTGACAACTTGTTCACCAAGTGCAGTCCTCCCCCACTTGAGAGCAATCTGCCAGCACGCAAGAGGAAGCTGGCAAGCATCGTGAGGCTCTGTCCTTGCACTTGCTCAGTAAGGGATGGGTTGAAGTCAAATGGAGCACGCTGAAAGGCAACATCTGCGCATCTTGTATTGGATTTTCTTTCTGCGAGACGTTTCAAGTGCCGACCTTGCTTCCTGGTTTTGTTCTTCGTTGCCCCCGTCGATATTTAGACTCCGTTGCTTCAATATATTGTAATATAATGCACTTATGGAACCTGGATTTACCAACTTATTATTCTCGCTTTACAATAAATTTGCCATGAAAAAAACTATAGGTACAACAGAAACTCAAAAACCTCATCTTATCAAGCATGGATCAAATTTCAACGAGTATGTAACTTTATTCATTGTTTGTATTTTCGTTTCGCGCTCAACCATGTGCATATATTGAGATTGAGACTACCAATGGTGAAGCAATGAGTAGTGTTACTGTATCCATGTGGGACTACAAGCAAGACGATTTGCATGTGTCCCGCCGCGTGATTTATAACCAAAAGTAAATGGTGGTAGCTAGATCTGACTGTGGAGAACCAAGTAATAGATGGCTAGGTGGGTCCAACGGTCCTTGACACTGTCGGGTCAATCTGCAACCCGACAGTGATATTCCAACTACAACTGACGGTTTGTGGCTCTAATGGGCAATGATATATCACTACTGAGACGTGGCTCTAATGGCCTGTAGCTCTGGCTTTGGATCCCGAAGGTGAGTCTTGGCCGCAAGGCGATCACTTCTCTGCGGTACCAAGGGGCTTGTGCGGCGGGCAACGCGTCGTATCGGCGTGCCGGCAATGAGCGGTTCATCGAGCGGCTGCTGGAGGGAGTCGATGAATTGGTCGACCGACGGCGCAGCCCCCACTGGAGCAGAGATTCTGATCCTAGTAAGGATGGCAACGGGTCGGGTTCGGATCGGGTGGAGTCTCCGTGCACCCAAAACCGAAACCCAAAGTCGATACCCCAATCCGCCCCGAAAACCGATTCGGGTGGAAATCCATCACCAAAACCAAACCCGCAGATACCCGAAACCCGAACGGATACCCGAAACCCGAATAGATACCTGAAACCCACGGATATATATACACATATTCACATGTATAAACAGGAGGCAACAAATAATAAATATTTTCATGAGTCAACTTTAAATAAATTTAATAATCTAAGTAAACAAATTATTATTAGTATATTATAAAACATGAGTTTTAATTCCAAATAATTTATTTCGGATATCCATTGGATATCCACGGGTGGAAAACCAAACCCGATTGGTTTCGGGGCCCCGAACCCGAAAACCATGGGTGAAAAACCATCCCCAAACCCGAACCCGCAGAACCCGAAACCCGCGGATATCCGCCCCAAACCCGATCCGTTGCCATCCTTGGATCCTAG